ATACCATCCACGTCATCAGGTGGCAGTGACGCTACATATAAATTGTTTTACATCCCTCCCTTTGGATCAGATATAGTATGTCTGATACAAAACAAAATAACTAACTATTATTGGCGAGGGCTTAGAACAGATCTCGGGCATCATACATGAGAATTTTGGTAGTGCTTATTAGAACATTTGAATTGTCTCTGTATCGAACAATCACTCTTTGTACGCTAAGAGGTACTTCTGGGATTGCTGGATGTGGTTGAAGGTACACCAGAACCCGGTTTCCAGGTGGAAACAGAACTTGTAGATTGCTTAGAAGGCAGTCCTGAATCACTATTGCTAAGGATGTGAGTATTTACTAAACCTTTCTGTCCTTTATTAAACACAACAGTTTCGCGAAAATATTTATCTGGATAGAATTTCGAGGCGTCTTGTCGCGAAATTTCAGTATGTCTGCGCAAGTAAGGCGTTATCTCAGGAATAACCGTGTCACTCGTGAAATAGCTCGTAAGTCTTTATTCTTTATGCACATTTGTTGGCGTACGTAGCACTCGCGCAAAGTTTAAATATGCCAGGGAATAACCGGTAGCTAAACTTGATACTGTATTCATGGAAAAACGAATACTGGGTAACACTTCATCTCATTTAGTATGGCCTTTTTGAACTTATATGGAATTTTGAATCTTTAGATCTCTATTTTTACGTTCCTCTGGATTTGAGGCAGGTTGATAATCAGGGATGAGTCATTGTTGAATACCTAGGCTGTATGTAAACCGCGCAATATTTTACAACAAATTGGGGTCCGCTTTCACTTATTATTCTACGAAGTGTGAAGTATCGTTAACATATTTCGCTTATTTGGATGTTAAGGGATAGTGATGCGCAGCATATAGCCTCTCCTATTCAAATGTCAACCTCACCTGCTCGTATGATGATCTAGATCATGGTCATCTGGTACATCCTGCTAGATAACTAACAAGGCTCTGGCGTCCGAGTGTTTGCCGGGATAAGCAATCCACCATTTACTGGCCAACGGCTTCGGGCGGATGAGCTGGTAAATGGAAGGGCACTCTGTTGTCCTGAGACTGAGAAATTGGTCTCAAAGGCGGAAGAACCAAGAAAGTGCTCAACGGCATCAGAATGCAGAAGGCAACGAGAAACCACTGCATTAAAGGTCCCTGATGACATCTCTAGTAAAGCTATCATGGCAAATCCAACTAAAGTGGAAACTCTTACTAATCATGGAATACGGAAGCCAAGATTCGGCAGGGGAGGTGATCCACCTTTAGATCACAGGGCCTCCCAGGTCATAACCCAGCGAAACCACTGTGGCAGAACCGGAAAAGTGTCTCTCAGAACATCAGAGTCGATTACTAAAATATGTACCTGGAATGTGAAGACAATGTATCAGGCTGGAAAAATTCATAATACCATTCAAGAAATGACCAGACTTGGAATCAGTATAATGGGCATAAGCGAAATGAGGTGGCCAAATAGTGGTGCTTGTATTGTTGACAATCATATGGTATACCACTCGGGAAATGAAGATGGTCAACATATATATGGGGTTGGAATAATCGTCTCTCCCCAATTACGTCAATATGTTACAAATGTTATACCTGTTTCTGAAAGATTAATAATAATCCAACTGAATACTAGTCCCGTCAGGTTAAATATTTTACAAGTGTATACCCCCACTAACGATAAACCAGAAGAAGAGCTAGAGCAATTTTATGAGTTGTTGATAAATTCACTTAAACTACTTAAAAAAGAAGATATAACTATTATTATGGGTGACTTCAATGCGAAAATTGGTAAAGGAAGAAGCGGTGAATTCATAGGTGATTATAGTCTAGGGCAGAGAAATGAAAGGGGAGAAAAGTTAAAACTTTTGTAGAGGAAGAAGAATTTGCAATACTAAATACATTCTTCAAATTACCACCAAGACGCTTGTATACCTGGGTCTCCCCGCAAGATCAACCAGGACACGTAATACGAAATCAAATTAATTACATAATGGTGAACAAGAGATTTCGTAATGGATGCCTATCAGTTAAGAGTTACCCAGGTGCTGACGTATCATCAGATCATGTTCTTGTTGTTGGTAAATTTAGGTTTAAATTCAAGAAGGTCACAAAAAAGAATAGTAACAAAAAGTGCGATATGAGAAGACTAAAAGATAAAACAAAAGAAACAGTCACACAGATTCTTTCAGAAAAGCTATGTAATATAGAGCAAACATATATTGCCGAAGAATCAGTCCAAAACATATGTGAAACCTTTAACAAGATCAGAGAAGAACATCTAATAGAAAAGAAAGATAAGAAAAAAAGTTGGATGAATGACAATATACTGCAACATATGGAAGAAAGAAGAAAATCAAAGAACAACAAAATAATGTACAACAAGATTCAGAGACAAATAAGAACCGAAATACGAAAGACCAAAGAAAATTGGTTAAAATCACAGTGTGAAGAGATAGAGTTGTTAGAACAAAAACATGACACGTTTAACATGCATAAAAAGGTGAAACAAGCAGCTGGTGTTCAGAAATCCAACACAGCTAACAAACTGCGAGACCAACAGGGGAATATCATCACAGACAAAAATCAAGAAATCCGCATATGGACAAAATAACACAAGAACTCTTTAATGATACTAGATCCGAACAACCTCCATCCTACATATGTGATAACCACTTACCAATCACTTCAGATGAAGTGCAAAAAGCTATATTACAACTAAAAGATGGCAAAGCTCCTGGACCTGACAATGCATATGCTGAGCTCATAAAACTATTTAACACCGACGGTATTCAACACCTAACAAAAGTATTTAATGGCATATATTTAAGCGGAGTAATACCAAGAACATGGCTGAAGTCGACCTTTATTGCTTTACCAAAGAAAACAAAATCCCTATCCTGCAGTGATTTCCGAACCATCAGCTTAATGAGTCATATTTTAAATTATTTCTAAAAATCGTACATCAAAGGATATATAGACTGTGCGAAGAAAAAATCAGCCGCACACAGTTTGGTTTTCGGAATGCAGTGGGTACGAGAGAGGCTCTCTTTGGTATACAAATGCTATTTCACGTGGCGTCCGTCAGGGATGTATACTATCACCACTGTTGTTTAACATATACTCTGAGGAAATCTTTCAAGAAGCAGTGGGTGATGTTGAAGCCGGAATATTAATCAACGAAGAATCTATCAATAACATTAGATACGCGGACGACACGGTAGTATTCGCTGACAGTTCTGAAACCCTCCAGGAGTTAATGAACAGAATCACAGAGGTCAGTCAGAGATGCGGACTTTCACTAAACACTAAGACAGCAATTTGGACAAAAATCAGTGTAAACGGTCAACAAATAGAAAGAGTAAAAACATACACCTACCTTGGTACGAACGTCAATGAAAATTGGGACCATTCATAGAAATCAAATGTAGAATAGAGAAAGCAAGATCTGCATTTCAAAAAATGGCCAAGTTATTCAAATGTCATGATTTATCAATGCCCATAAAAATCAGGTTACTACGATGTTACACCTTTCCTATACTGTTGTACGGAGTTGAGTCATGGACTCTCACAGACGCCACTTGCAAGAAAATTGAGGCTTTTAAAATGTGGCTTTATCGTCGCATCCTGAAGATATCGTATATACCGACCACGTTACTAATGGGGGTGTTCTGTTGAGAATGAAAAAAGAAAAAGAGCTGTTAACCACAATAAAAACAGCCAAAATCGAATACCTCAGTCACATCATGAGGAACAGCCAAAGATATGGACTGCTGCAACTAATCTTGCAGGGAAAAGTAGAAGGAAAACGGGGACCAGGAAGGCGAAGGATTTCCTGGCTGAAAAATCTACGAACGTGGTTCAACACAACAACCACAAATCTTTTTAGAGCAGCAGTGTGCAAAGTGCAGATTGCCATGATGGTCGCCAACATCCGAAACGGATAGGCACTACAAGAAGAAGAATTTCGCTTATTAGTATCACTCCGCCGAACAGTATCACTGTTCACTCCGCCGCAGTAGCTTATCTTAACGAAAATAGTTCTATACATTTCGTGAAAGTATCTTCTACTGCAAAAATCCATCTGTAGTCATCTAGATTTTTATCATGAAATAAAGCTACAGAACGATTTAAAATGAATCAAAATAAAAGTTGCCATGAATTTAGCACAGAAGCTTTTGGAAATGTTATACTGAATAGTCCGTAGATCTTTAAATCCAAAAGAAAAAAGAAACTGAATTGAAAGCTAGAGACAAGCAGCGACAAAAATATTTACGATTATATGCATAAATTAATTGATATACTTAATTATAATTATAGTTCTAGTAAAAGGTGTAAAACCTGTTCGTGGTCATGATGAAACATAACAAGAACTGAAAACGGATTGTTTCCGGAAATTGTACAACTTCTTGCAATGGGCCTCAAAATATTGTACTGATTTTAGATGGATTTTAGCAACTACTTTTAAAATGATGTTTTTCATTATGTCAAAAATGAATCCGCCGATTCGTCATCGTACCCCGCTTTCCCCTACTTAATTTGGTTTTATTTTTCATTTTCCCCTTTTTGTAAAACTTATATATTTTTATATAAAACATGCTTTAATAATTTATTTAGCGTTCTTTTAATGTAACAAAATTCTAATTCAATTATTAGAACAGGATTTTGTTTTATCTACTTCTGGTACTTACAACTTGAAAATCCAGAGATGTCCATTTTAATTTTTGAATATTATATAATCAATGTACTATAAAACTCTAGTTTAAGAACAGAATAAGAAACAATTATATTTTATTTAATTTCTCTTCCATAATTTTGGAAAGAATTTCGAATTCAGCGTGGCTACATTCACACTAGTTACTGATTTTATTATGTCACTTGTCGAATAACAAATATACCAATCCAATTTCGTCAGAAAAGAAGAATGTTAATTTATTATTAAATAGAAAAATATTTAGGACATACATAAACAAAGATATTGTGAGCAAAATGTATGACATTGAAATATTTGACAAAGACAAAAATCGTTTAAGCATTTCACCAGAAGATCTCCAAAATAAGTGTAGAGTCTGTTTGACAAAAGATGGCTTATTTAATATCTTTGAAACTAAAGAAAATGATCATTTCTATAGTGATATATTGGCCACTCTATCCTTACTGCAGGTAATTTGTTAAATATAAAACTATGAATCAGTAACTAAATTTCGTGGTGCATGTTATAGGGCGTTTTAATGAATGGACTATGTTATAGCTGCATAGAGTAGATTGGGATGGCTCTAAGTTTAGTGGGCTTTCAGTCTTTAATAACCATTACACACAGTTGTTTTTAAATTTTATCCAATCACTAAATGCTATAGGTGCTGCCTTTTGAAAATATGAGTGTGTCGGAAGATATTTGCAATTATTGTCATGCCTCACATGACACCAGCTCGAGTTGTTGAATTTTATATATAATGAGGCTTTTCTAAATGTTGGCAAACCTAAGTGCCATTCCAGCTATTGTTAAATCCCACATGACAAATTAAAGTCTATTAACTCATTATTTAATTTGATAACATTGTATATTTTCAATCGCATCTCTTTGTTACATGCTGCTTAACAGATTTGGAAAGTTTTCTCTTTAACTAAGAAGTGTTTTAAAAAACCCATGAGTTGTGTTGATTTGTTATTACTACTGCTAGTACTGGAAGTATATTGTTGCTTTCTAAAATGTGGTCCATCACTAAAATTACTACATTTGAAACATTATCTGTAACAATTTTATACCTTTTGAAAGTTTATCTTCAGCTTCATATCCATAACACTCTTTTATTATTTTAATAGTAAATTTTCTGTATGTTAGTAATGGTATTTCTTTCTCTAAATTCCCAAGTTTCAAGTTCACATTCATGACCAGTGTTCACATTCTTTAGTTCAAACCAGTTCACATTCTTCATTGACAGTAATAGTTTTGGAATAATAATAGTAGGAATTTGTTGGAAAAATCGTTGTCTAGGCATTACTTATTTGATTAATAACTGTTGTTCTTATTACTTAATTGTTAACACATAGTATAGGTACTAATTTAACACTTACTCTTCTTATTATCATCAAACAATATTAACGGCAAGTTTTATTTCCACACAAACTGTCTAAAAGTGACATAAGCCTACTTGAAAAAATGAATGTTAAGCCACAGTTAAATTTATAAATGTATTAACAATGATACAAGCCTACTTGGAAAAGAAAAAAACAAAAAATTAATTACAGAATATGTAGAAGGAAAAATAGAGAAATGTTAAATAGAAAAATACAACAAATTACAGAATATAATAACAAGAGAGAGTAGGAAGTTTTATAACTAAACCAATGTATACATCAAGGACAAATGACAAGAACAACAGTCTGCAAAAACAAAATAGAGCAGTTATCAGCGGGAAAGAGAAACTAATGAAAAGGTGGAAGGAGCAATTTTGAGAGCTCTTTTTGAAACTCTTTGAAACCCAGGAAAAGAACAAAACCAAGAAGAAAAAATAATTCATCACACAGCAGAACAACTAGTTGAGGAACCAACATTGAAAGAAACTATATACAGATTGAACGAAATAAATACGGAACATAGGAATATAATGTATTTCGGCTCAATTCTGCTGTAGCTGGTTGGCCAACAAAAGATTGTCAAATAATTATATTATAAAAAATCCCATACTTCAGTGGGCTGCTGGATTCTGAACTCATAAAAATTGAAAGCTACACATAAATCTACGATTATGCTGTCAAACCAGTTATAGTCCAGGAAATGTAGCATTTCACCTCGCAATTTTTTCGTGCGGCGCGGATTGACTTGAAATTTAACAGAAGGTAGGTAATAGCCTAAGGATCAAAATCTATATCGAACCAAAGTGCGCCAAAGCCTAGGGGGTGGTTGCCACCCCATCTCCGGGGTGAAAATTTTTTTTACGCTTTAACTACAGGTTTCGATTAGAAAAGTGATTCTAAACAAAAAATGTGCTATACATTTTTTTTATAAAATGATATTTTTCAAGTTATTCGCGATTGAAAGTAACAACTTTTAGACGAAAAAATCCACGTTTTTAATCGATTTTTCGCGAATAACTCGAAAATGGTGCATTTTATCAAAAAAATTGTAGAGAACAAATTTGTAGCTTTTAAAAAGACAAATACAATTACAAATACAATATCAATGTTCAGCGGTTTTCTTCAAATGCCAAATTTGAAAGATTCAAAGTCAAATATCGGGAAAATGATGCATTTTTGGAAGAAAACTCACAAAACCTTTTTTAAAGAGCATAAATAGACCTATCATAAAAAAATAAGGTCAATACCTCATTGTTTACGAAAAAATCGAGGAAAACAACACCCTAACCACCCCCATAATTAAAATCGATCTTCACCCTTCTGCAATTCCCTTTGTAGATGTATTGTTAATACTTCCAAGAAGTTTGACCCATTTAAAATGCTTAGTTTTAGAAAAAGTACAGCTTAAAGCGAGAAACGATTTACAATTTCATATTTTTTACCCTTCTTTTTTTAAATATGCCAGAAAATACTGAATATATGAAAAAAATAAAAATTACCAAATTGTAGCTTTTTTAATGACTAAAATTATCCTTTATTTAGATTTGTTGTACAATGAATATTTGGCGAGATATAGCCGTTTAAAGCATCGATTTACGATCAAGCACCATCTTTTTCGGGCCCTTTAAACTCACCCCATTTAAAAACCAAGGGTTCCAAAAAGATTTAATTCACAGATCCTTGTAGCTATTAAAAACCTCTACAAATCGTTTTTGAAGAAACATCTATCGTTAAAAATTAAAGGAAATACTTTAAAAAACCAGTTAATTTTTTTCCGGAAAATTCCATTAGTATAGTACAGTACATTTCGGAGCATAATAATCTACAAAACCGGTATATTAGCTAGTGGGGCGTTATACATTCGAAATTTTAAGCGTTCTTATTTTGAAATCCCATACAACAGAATAAAACATCTGCTCATATGTCTATGGCTTGGCAATGAAAATATCAGAGCAACAGATTGGGGATGGTTTTCCAAAGATGGTTTGTTATTACCTGTACGCATGAACAAACAACCTGCACCCGATAAATTTTGAAAATTATTTTTTGCCAATGCAAAAAAGGATGCGGCGTTTCATATGGGTGCAGAAAAGTTGGTTTATACTGTAACTCTACTTGTTCTGGGTGCTCAGGTGAAGGGTGCAATAACAGTCCACCAATAATTGAGGAAGATGATGATGACATAGATCACGATGAAGATGTAATTGATGACGAATAAAATTAATATTATAATTGTTTTACCTATAAATGTAAATATTTTCAACTATTTATGTAAATGTATAAGAATATATGGTGCCTTTTTATGTTGATAATTTTTTTTGTATTTAATTCTACTTTTTTCAATTTATATCTTATAAATTAGTTTATAAAAACTTCAATGTTGTAAAGGGTGATTTTCAAAAGTTGAAAAGTTGCAAAATTTTGGCAAAAAATTGTTTTCACCTATAGCACTCATAACAATTGATTTTTAAGGGTTGAAAATGTATGAATTTGTATTTTAAAGTATAAAAAACTCACTATTTAAATAATCCAAACCAAATTTCACTCATCTTAGGATTTGTAATATTATTTTACAATTTTTGAAAATTAGGGGTAGTTTTCACCCCTAAGAACAATCAGGGTTCATCGGCATGACATAAACTATAAAGCAGAGGGTGAGTTGAGCTTAATTCCAAATTTTTATGCAAGTCGTTTCAAGGTGAAATCATTTTCTTCGCATTACTAATTTTTTTATATTAATCTCTAATGAGGGTCGCTTTTTAAGGGTTGAAATATGATGGAACTTTATTGAAAAGCACGAAACTATCATTATTTAATTAATTCAAACCAAATTTTACCTATATTCAGGTTTAATATGGTATTTTATAATTTTTGACAATTAGGGGTAGTTTTCACCCTAAGAACAATCAGGGTTCGTCGACATGACATAAACTATAAAGCAGCGGGTGAATTGAGCTTAAATCCAAATTTTTATCCAAATGATACAAGGCGAAATCATTTTTTTAGAATTAGTAATTTTTTACATTAATCTCTAACAAGTGTTGCTTTTTAAGGGTTGAAATATGATGGAACTCTATTCAAAAGTATAAAATAATCATTATTTAATTAATTCAAACCAAATCTTACCCATATTCAGGTTTAATATGTTATTTTATAATTTTTGACAATTAGGGGTAGTTTTCACCCCTAAAACCCTTCAGCGCACTTCGGTTCGATATAGATTTTGATCCTTGGGCTATTACCTACCTTCTGCTAAAATTTCAAATGGATACATGCAGGACGAAAAAATTGCGAGGTTTTAACTTTTTTCGAGCTTCAATTCCTGAACTATTACGCCTCCTTAGACAAACCCGTCTTACGCAAACAACTTTGTTGCGAGACAGATAGTTGAACGATATTTTATACAATGTCTATACCCAGGTATGGATTTATTTTTGTCCAAGTTTTATATTGGTCCACTATTTTAAATGCAGTTCAAACAGACATGTATTAAATTGTATGTTCCGTTTTAATTTGGTTCAATCTGTATGTCATAAAACATATGAAAAATATCAAAGTGCCTGGCATAGATGAAATAACTGCAGAACTGATAAAGAATGGTGGATATGTGCTATGGAAGCGTACCCACAAACTAATCTGCAGCATTTGAACACTAGAAGTCAACACTGAGGATTGGAAAGTAGGAATCATATTTCCTATGTACAAGGTGGGAGACAAATGTCCCTGCGAAAATTATAGAGACATAACAGTAGTAAATGTTGCCTACCAGATATTATCATGAATTATATACAGCTGTCTTGAATCATTTTTGGAAGAAATAATTGGTAAATACCAATGTGGTTTCAGACCAAAGTATCAACTATAGAACAAATTAATATATATGTTAAGAGCACTTGAAAAATGTGCTGAATATAACATACCAATTTACAACTTGTGTATTGATTTCAAATAGTTTAAAACAAAAATGTTAAAACAAGTATCCATGTTAGGAATACCGAAAAAGTTAGTTAAACTTATCCAAAAGACTTCGGAGGGTTCCAAGGCCATAGTGAGAATATATGGAGATATGACAGGCATTTGATATTGAAAATGGAGTTGCCAAGATGATGTCTTACCAAAAACACTTTTTAATCTAACTTTGGAAGCTATTATCAGAAAACTAGATATGAACGACTGTATTAATATAAAATCCACTCAAATATGCGCATATGTGGATGATGTTGCCATAATAAGCCAAAATAGAAGGGTATTAACCAAAAAGCTATAGATTTTAAACGGGAAGCCACTGCATTTGGTCTAAATACAAATGAAAGGAAAACAAAATATATTTAGTGCACAAAGTCGAATCGACATGAATCTGATGGTAGACAACCATACCTACGAATATGGCTCCACCTTTCCCTACCTAGGCTCAATAATAAATGACAGCAACAAAGTCAGTCAAGAAATACAAGCACAGATTCTTCACAGTAATAAGAGCTTTTATGCATACAAAGACTTAATGAAAAGTAAGTCACTGAATCGTGAGTCTAAGCTTAGAATCTACAAAATAGTAATTAGACCAGTAGTCACATATGGATATTAAATGTGGACTCTTTCAACCACTGATGAAAATCAATTGAGAATAAACATATTTGGACCAACCCATTGTAGCGATGGTTCGGGAGAATAAAAATGAACTAGGAGCTTCATAAATTAATGCAGGGAGCAGATATCATTGGATTTGTAAAGTCACAAAGACTAAACTGGCTTGGCCACTTAGAAAGAATGTCAGATAATAGAGCTGTAAAAGTAATCCAGAGATAAAGACCCCAAGGAAATGGAGTAAAAGGTGAATAGACAATGTAGAGGAAGATCTTAACATCATGAACATCAGGCAGTGGCGAAGGAAAGCATCTGACAGGGCATAATGGAAGAACATTGTTGAGGAGGGCAAGACCCACAAAGGGTTGTAATGCCATTAGAAGAAGATATAATATTTTAAAGTGGATTAAAGATGTCATGTTTCTGTCTATGGATTATATTTCTATATATTGGTTCTGCAGCCACAAATACTTTGTTTCTTTAATATTTTATGGGCGATTCTGTTTATTTCTTTGTAGCTTCCTTCATTTTTGTTTCTTTGTTTACTTCCATCATCCATTATTTCTTCTGTCATCCGAAGAAAGGTAGATAGATAGATTTACTGAGGTGGCATTTGACTTATTCCATTGCGACCATTTCAGATCTATTGTGGTTCTCTAATCCTAGATTACATTCTCTAGCCTGACCATTTTTAAAAAAGAAACCACACATTTGCCAGGCTACCTTACTGACACAAAATGTGCTCTGCTGTTTCTTCACTAGGTGTCCAGATCTGTATAGATCATCATCTGCTAATTTCATCAGCTTCAGCTGCCTAGTCTGCTTCAACTGCCCATCAAATTTTGGCGAGTGTTGTATAATGAACTGTATCGCCTGTCTTTTCCTGGTGAATTTCTCCACCATTCCAGAGATTTGTGTGCTACCCACTTTCTTGTAGCTATTCTTGTTACTACTTTTGCAATGCCGCAGAAGGGTTCCGGTCCAACAAATGTCATTAATGAGCCTTGTTTGGCAATTATATCTTCTTTTTCATTGCCCTTATGACCCCCGTGCCCTGGTACCTAGGCTATTGTATCCTTGCTACAGTCTCCTAGTTTATTTCCACAGAATCCCATACTAGCATTGGCCTCTACAGAATTTATTGGCCAGATAGCCAGACAGCAGAAGGGCTGTGGCTATCTGTGAAGAATGTCAGCTTTGAATGATGGATGCGTTTTCTCTTCTTGCCTTTGTCTTTTTCTTTCTATCTTCCAGCAGTGATGGATTGCTGTTATTTCCACCTGGAACATTTTGACATTCTTAGATAGACTCACCTGGAAATGTATCCCTTGCTTTGCCCCGACTATACCATCTCCTACAGACCTTCCTTCTAGTCTTCTCTGCCTGGTATATTCCTTTTGAATTTATTGTCAGATGTATTCGCAGTGTTGCATCAACAGTTTCCCATTACAATATCTGCTTTTATCTCCTCAATTAGGAGCTTCTATGTCAGCACTATGTGTCTGGCTTATATGTTGCTGACTATGTATTAATCTATGTAGTACAGATTCGTCTTGTATAAAGATAAGTGGTGAAAGTTTCAACTTCGCTGTAAGAGTTGTTTTTATGGCCCCTGTAATACACAGACATGCTAGTCTTTGTGTAATACTTAGCAGCCATATTGCTCCTACTTGCTGCATCTTTGTCCATAGGTTATCATTGGTCTTATGATCCTTTTGTATAATCTAAGGGTCATTTTAGAGTTGAGCCACAAATCTTTAACACACATCCTTCTACATCTGCCCAATTACGTACTAGCTTTCTGTGTTGTCATTATGTGGGTATTGTCATTGAAAGATATTTCTTTACATTTTTTTCTACTTTTAATCTACTGCTTAATGTTTATTTTGTTGTTGAGTTTCTCTTTGATTTCTCATCTTCTGTTGTTATCTTTTAATCTCTGGATGTCAGATCGTGTATCACTTTTTTATGTGTAGAAAGCTTAAACCGGTTCAGCATTACGGTCTGAAATAACATCCGCTCCCTGACATATTTTTCACATTTTTCCTAATTTTGAAATCTTTTGTTTATGATGATATTGTCAGTGATAACTTTTTGGGGACAAGGGGACAGTCGGCTGGATTTAAATTGTAAAAGTAAAGACAATCAGAAAAAGGTGTTTATTATCGAACTGTCTACTTATTGTCATAGTTTTACTGTTTTTTTAATCTATTGAATGTTAATACTTTTTTTAGGTAGATAAGACAGATGGGATGCCACAGAGAGTCTGCGAAGTATGTGGTGATTTGGTCACAAAAGTTCATACCTTCAAACAACAAATACAAGCATCTCATGTTATCTTACAAATAGCGTTAGGTCAAATAAATCTAAACAGTATCGGAAAACCTGAAAGTAAGTCGGAATTTGAACACCCTGATTTGTTGCAACAATTGGGTGTGCCTGATTTACCAGAAGATGATAAAATAGATATTGGTGACGAAAATAATAAGGATGTTTTACAACCAGGAATGGAGTATTCTTGTTCGTTTTGTGGCCTAAGATTTGAAACAAAATCTGAGTATATTTTTCATAGAAAACGAGAAGAAAGACAAAGAAGAACAAAACAATCCTGTCCACATTGTTCAAAAAAGTTTTTTACCTATGAATTAAAGGATCATATAAATTCTCACACAAAATCCAAACCTTATGAATGCGAGACCTGTGGTATAAAGTTTGGATATAAAACAAGTTTAACTTTGCATAATTTAAGACATAAATCTAACGAAATTCCAAAGTTCTCGTGTGGAGAATGCGGTAAAAATTTTTTTACCAAACACACTTTGGGAGTGCACCAAAAAATGCACGGAGGGCCCCCGTATCCATGTAAAATTTGCCGTAAGAGTTTTTCCAAGAGAAATGTTTTGAAGTTACATATGCGATGTCATTCTGGAGAACGGCCGTTTTTATGTACTAACTGTGGTGCAAAATTTTCACAACGAGGGCATTTGAATACTCATATTAAACTTAAACATAGCAGTGAAAAACCATTTGAGTGTAACCAATGCGATAAAAAGTTTGCTATAAAGAGCCACCTTTCCGCCCACACCAGAACTCACTCAAAGGATAAATCTTTTTTGTGTACTGTGTGCGGAAAAATGTTTCAACAAGAAATTGCATGTAAAGCTCACATGCTGGGTCATTCTGAGGAACCCGGAATTTTGTGTAATACATGTGGGCAGCTGTTTCCTACTAGAATAAATTTATTTGAGCATATAAGAGAAAACCATGGTGAACTTCCTTTTAGTCCCGTGAACAAGAGACGTTGGCCTAGAGGTGTCAAAATACGCATGTGTGAACTGTGTCAAAAGCAGTTCGACAGAAAGAGCACTTATGAGATTCATATGAGGAGCCATACAGGAGAGAAACCTTTTCCGTGCAAAGAATGTGGTAAAAACTTTACTCAAGCATCTCACTTGTACTATCATATGAAATTACACAATGGAGAAAAAGATTTTAGTTGTCAATTTTGCAAGAAAAGGTTCACTCTCAAGGGTAATCTTCTGCAGCACGTCAGGACACATACCGGAGAAAAACCATTTCAGTGTGATATATGTTCGAAAAAGTTCTGTACACCTCATACTTTGAGAAGACATAAAATTACTCATATGCCTGATAATAGTGGAATTTAAGCAAGTTATATTCATATGCCTGATAGCAGTGTAATTTAAGCAAGTTAGATTGTCTGATAATTCAATATTCTTTGTGATGTTTAATGCACCCTAATTTTAGGATTGATTATTATTACGATGTTTTTAATTTTCAAACATTGTAACTTTTAGATTTATCATTTTTCATGATATATTTTATTGCTGCGTTTTTAAATTGACCTACTTACTTTTCATCGAATTATTTGCCTGATAGTGTTGAGATTAAATTATGCATAGTGATAGTGATTATTTTATATTATCGTATCTATTTATCTTTTTTAATGACGCTAGGTGTGAAGGTTCTATTAATTTTCATCGAAGTTGCTGTTATGATATTTTCCCTTGCTTTATGATATTATCATTAACTATCTACGGCCTATATTTTGGTATAGTAGGCACGTAATCTCGTTGGAATATTTACGGGAACAAGAGCGAGTAAGATACTAGCAAATTGGCAACAGTGTTAGAGTGACCATTATGATATTCTACTGAACAGTAGTGTCGATATCTAATTTTAAATTAAATAAAAGTCATTATTTTGCAAACATTTGATTTTAATTGTAAATGGAATCAGTATGGAATGGTATCAGTAAATATTTTATTTTACCAAAAATTTTCATTTTCTATAAAGTTTAAATAAAAAATATAGGTGTTATCAACTTCTTATATACCTAGGTAGTAATAACACTAATTGATTCGACTGAACAAAATTTATTGTAAAATAATAATACCTATATAAAAAAAAATGTTAATAACAATACCTATAAGGAAAACTTCCTATTTTATCCCTGATAACTTTTATGTTATAGTAATCAGGAAAATTTAGAGAATTCATTTTTTAAATTAAATACAGGGTGTTCTATTAAAGAAGCACAGCTTAGGTTTGCCACTGTGTTAGAGAAGACTTAGCACCTCCATACTTTTAAAATGGGTAAGAGGTCTAAGACTTTTAATAACATTTTATTTATATATACCTAGCAGGTATTTTATAATAACGTAACCATTACTTTGACTATTTTAAATCAAATACTTTGTACCTTTTTGTTCTACCAAGAAGTATGTTTTTACTCTATTTTCAAAGATATATAAGCAAAAGGAGAATATCTACAATTACAATAAAAATAAAGGTTTCAACTAACACCTAATTAGAATTAAGCACTTGCTAATCTATCAGAGTCACTGTTATCACTAGTATCACTCGTATGTTCTAAATTTATAGTTAGTTTTGTTAATACTGGTATATAGTTAACATAGTTATTTTTCACTCCGATTACATTTTTTCAGTTGGTTGCTGTGATCTTTGTGAGTTTCTTCTAATATTTCCTTTAAGTTGAGCCCATATTAACTCTATTGGGTTCAATGTACAATAATATGGAGGAAATCTAAGCACGGTATGCCCATTACTGCGAACACAGTTATCAACAAAATTTTCCTTGTGATACTGTCTACTATGAGCAACCTCCAACAATTGCTTTTTACTATATGATGCCTCAAAATACAAATCTTCCTCAAATAAAAATTCCTGAATTTTTAATTTGTTCCAAGTTATATTTTGAATATTTCTCATTAATCTTGAATGGTATGATGCGTTGTCCATGACACACACACTATATTTAGGTAATTTCGGAAGAAGAGATTTTTTAAACCATGATTCTAAAATTGAATTTTCAATATACTCATGGTAATCTAGAGACGCGTCTTTAATTTTTTTGCAGATATTAATAATACATCGTCGATCCATCTATTTCAGCGATACTCAACCTTTTTTTTTCCTGGGCCGAATAGTAGCTATTGCCACAGCTTGCGGGCCGCAATCTAGGTGAAGTAGTATAAATACATATATATATATATATATATATATATATATATATATATATATATATAATATATTATTATATATATTGAGAATTGAAACATTTGAAAGCTTGAGATATAAAAAATAGTCTTCTAGAACAGCCCCTTTTATTGACTCCAACCCACCGAAACGAAAATTATATATATATATATATATATATATATATAATATATATATATATATAATATATAATATATATATAAGTATATATATACTAAATATATAATATAGTATATATATATATATATATATATATATATATATATAATATATATATACATTATTTTCAAAATACTGATTTCAAAAATGTATAATACTTTCGCAAAATTTCGGTCAAATGCTTTTTAAATGCATTAATTTTTTTAATTATTGGAAAACTAATAAGAATTTTGGAAAAATTTAAACGCAGAATATAATAAGTTACAGGGGTGCAGGGCCGTAAGTTTATTTTAATAAGTTACAGGGGTGCAGGGCCGTGCCGTGCTATGATACGGCGAGGCAGTCGCATCAGGCGGCATCACAAGGGGGCGGCATAATCAGTAAAATAAAAAAAAATGTCAGGCTGTGTAAAATTGTTGTCAGAAACTATAGACAAAACGAAAAGTTACAGATAATATGGCTAATGACCAAATGAAAATTTAATGCAATTGCAGAAAAGTTTATATATGTATTGCATTTCCAGCTGAAAATGAAATTCAAGCCAGGATAAAAAAGCGAGCCAGGATAAAAATGCATTGGTTTTTTCGAATTCTGAGAAAACTAATAAGTATATTAAGTATTTTTGAAAAATTTAAACGCAGAGTGAAAGATTACATTATTACCGAGGGCAGAAAGTCCCTGAAAATTTCTATGTCTATTTTAATAAGTTACAGGGGTGAAAGGACAGAAAATTTATTGTGATTTTTAATTTCAAATATTTCATTCAAAAGAAACTTTTTATTTATTCTAAGGGAATTTAGGCTCTGGGTAATAATGAAATATTTTCATTCTGCATTTAAAGTTTTCAAAAATATTAATTAGTTTTCTCAGGATTTGATAAAAATTGCATAAAAATGAAAGTTAAATTTCAATCATATATAAGAGGCGGCATTTCAAAGACTTGCATCATATTAAAAGATGTACCCACGGCTCTGCAGGGGTGAAAACAAAGAGAAAATGTAGTATGATTTTTCATTTCAAATACATACAATAATGTGATCTTTCATTCGGCGTTTAAATTTTTCAAAAATACTCATTAGTTTTCTCATGATTCGAAAAAAAAAAATGTATTTCAAAAGCGTTTAAATGAGGTATCACATGAGGTATCCTGTACTTTCCCATTTAAAAAAAAATCATAGTTACGACTGTAACCTGAAGAGGGATCGCGTAAAGTTCGAAACATTTATGTTATAATAATATATGATGTGTGTGTGTGTGGAGTCTACAAAAAAACGGACTCGTTAAATTAAATGAATTACAAAATATCTAATATAATTGTATTTTTTAAAACGTAAGATTTTATAAATACATATGTAGATAAAGTCAAAAATTCTTAGTTAGCCTTCGGGCCGCATAAAAAAACGCCCGAGGGCCGCATGCGGCCCGCGGGCCGCAGGTTGAGTATCACTGATCTATTTTCTTCGCCGCAGTGTAAAATTATAATTCTTTATCCTTTATTGGGCCGTACTGAATTAGAATACTTTTTGTTATTAATCGTCCAAGTTTTTTTCACGGTGTCGTGTCATGAGTATCATACATATGATACAATATATCGTTTCATTTTTCGATACTCAGTTATCTGTCTATAATTGTTTCTTAAAGAAATTATTCTAGTACTTTCCATTAGTGCCTGGCACTTGTCTATAGTTTTTTACTTAAAATTATTGGCTTTAACAAATAATCGAAGTGTTGCTGCACATCGAAGTTGTTGCACATGAGAGAATGTCCTTTCGAACCAATTCACTTGGAAGGCTTTCAAAAGTTGAAAAAATATTAGCGGCATACATTTTGTATCTTGTTTTGGTTATAGGTTCAATTAAGTGCGGTTCTATTTGTCTGAATTTGCTACAATCCTTTTTACTTTATCTAGAAGAAGATGTTCCTCCTATAAGCTTGTAGCAGCTTGCTTGGACACTCTGGTTAAAAAACATGTTTCTGCAATTGCTCCTGATTTAGACAACTCAGAACACAGTCCTTCATAAACATGTTTCAGCATATGTTTGGCATCATCAGAGAGGTATTGGATATGTCGCTTACGTTTACTACACAGCTTTATAAATCTTCCAATTGATTAGAGGATTGCATTAGCTCTTCAGCTGCAGAATTATTATCACACGTCTCTCGTACTCAGAGCATTTCGAAAACTAAATTGTGTACGGTTGATTTTTTACTTCGCACGGTCTATATATCCTACGATGTATGATTTTTAGAAATACCTTTAAAATATGGCTTATTAATCTGATGTTCCGGAAATCATTGCAGGATATGGATTTTGTTTTCTTTGATAATGTAATAAACGTTGACTTCAGCCATGTTCTTGGTATTACTCCGCTAAAATACATGTCATTAAATATTTTTGTCCATCCGGTCAAGGAGCTTTGTCATCTTTTAGTTATGATATTGCTTTTTCCACTTCATCTAATATGATTGATAAGTAGTTATTAAATAATTAAGCAGAATAGAGGTGGTTTGGAACTATTATTATCAAACAGTTCTTATAATACGTATTTGCTCCATATGAAAATTTTTTGATTTTTATTTGTAATGATGTTCTCCTGTTAATCTTACAGTTTGCTAGCTGTGTTGAATTTATGAAGACCGGTTGCTTGTTTAACCAACTCTCAATTGGCTGATATCAACATAAAACATTCAAGCACATCGCAGTTGACATCCCTGGCTCTCTGTATTAAAACTTGCAAACTAAGATGGCTCATCAAACTAATTAATCTTTGTTCTTCACACTATTGTAGCTATTCTTTAGCATTGGATTTTTTTGAGATGTGGAATGAATATTGATAGTAGCCGTACAGTCTTTTGGCAAAAGACTGGTTACTATAAAGTGTCATATATGTTGTTGAATAGCTTAGTAAGAGCTGTGATTTGGTTGGCCTCTAATAGCTTTGAAATTTCACCATGCCCTTCATCAGGT